AGCACCGATGGACATTGGCGCAGGAGTCCGGTAAGTCACTGAAGGGGTTTTAACCCCTTCAGCAACTTGGGATGGGGGGTGGGAGGGAGAGGGGCACTGCAGAGTCCTGCAGTGCCAGGAAAACTAAGGGAGAATCCCTTTAAATGTGCAGATGCTGAGTAATTCTTCCCTTAGAATGAATGGGAAAGCCAAGACTGGCTGAGAGTGCTAAGACAATGCCTGTTAGAAGACGAAAGCAGAGAGACAGATCAAATTACCTAAAAAAGAGACATAATCACTCAAGTATTTATTATGTTTAAAATACAATTTAAAAGGGGGTGGAGGGGGTGCATAATCATTTCTTTAAGGATGCAGCTTAAAAAATATTAACAGCCTTTTATATTGTATGATTTCTCCCATAGAAACAACCTGTAAAAATACAGAAAAAAAACATGTAATTTTCATGGCTGAACACAGCATTTTCTCCTTCACAAGTACACAAAACCTCCCTTTAAACACACTTCCTAAATGATTACAATTAGCACTTAAATATGCAAATGAGCCTTCAGGTGTCACTTTTGCATAGAGCAGATTGACAACCTCGCTACATGTACTACATTGCCAACAACATATATTTTTCTCTGCTGTAAGAGACGTGTTTTGAGTGTAAAAGCTCCAGATTGCACAAATATTTTACTCTCGAACCATCTGCCTTTTTAACACTTACTGCAGGTTGTGGACATTATGTGAAGTGTAATATCTGCTGTTTGTGGACTAACCTATTTGGTGACATTAATGTTGCATTATCCTGAAATGCACTTTTCTTAACCCCTTAATGACCATAGTCGAATGTCAATATTCAGAACCAACACAAACCCTTTTTGGCCCCTAGGTGGGCTTGGTCATCTTACTAACCTCTCCCCTTTGCAAATGTCCAGTTCATTTTTCTAAAGAAACTACTCCACCTGTCTATCTATGAGCTCCACCCCTTTTTGTAATCAGACATAGACTTACTGACAGTCACACGCTCTCACTTATCTGACACACTCTGACAGACAGACACTCTCGCTGACCTGACTTGAAACACACTCACTGACAGATAGACACACACTGGCAGTCAAAAACTCAATGACAGACACACAAGTTATAAAACAAACCCTGCAAGGAGTGAATAACAGTTTTAAAGCTAAAATTTGGCATGCTGAGATTACAACTTTTATAGTATTCACAAAATCCCAAACTGCTATACAACCGTGTATATTTGTAGAAAGTACACCCCCTGTCTAATTAACTAAGAACATTTTGACACGTTTTTATTTAACCCTTTTTTTATGAACTGTAGTCTAACTATTAAATTTTCTGTGACTTTTGCTTTATTTTGTGGAGACTCATAACAACACTACAAAACACCACTGTAAATACCCAATATTTGTATTCTGCCACTGTTCTTGAGTACGATACACCACATATATACTTTTTCCCCCAAACTGGCCCCTAACCCTACCCCTTATACAACCTGTAAACCAACACCTAATCCAACCCTTAACCCTACCCATAATCCTACCCATAAACAAATGGATAATCCAATTCCTAATGCTACACACAATCCACCACCTAATCCTCTCCCTAATCCAACTCCATAATCCCACCTCAGAGGGATTCCCTCTGCTGACGTCAATATTGACATCAAAAGAGTGATTTCCCAGCTCACAGAGCACTATGTACTGTTTGAATAAAATATGAGAAGGAGATCGCCTCGTCATTGCTGCAGCTCCTGAAACTGTGACTTGTGTTGGGCAGCTGGCACAGCCCAGCACCAATCACCTGGCAAAGGGGCATGCAGGAAGACCTCACCAGGGTCTTCTCAGATCCTGCGTGTCTCCCTCATACTGGAGGAAGACTCAGAATAACCTTGGTTAAGCACAATCGCTCAGCCACAGTGATTTAAATGTATTTAAATGGCTCTGAGTGCAACACATAGCTCATCTGGCAGTAACCAACTGTGGCACCAGAAGACAGTGGCCCACTCAGATATCCAATGACACCTGGGGCTCCCCCTCAAATGCATGATCGCATAGACGGTTTTGCGGTCATGAAGTGGTTAAGGGACATATTGGGCTTTCTCTTGATACACTATATGTTTACATAACAACATTAAGGCTGAATAAAATTACAAATGTGGAAAAAAACTAAAACTTCAGCTTTTCTTATAATAATATTCGAATAAAATGTATTTTATCTATGCTCAATAAATAAGACTCTAGAGGTATTTCCCAGTTGGATCCATTCATTTGGACTGAGATTAAAATAAATCTGATTCGTATGAACCGCTCCAAATTAATTTTTTTCACAAGTTTACAAGTTTACTTAATCTTGATTGTTGAATACCTCACAAATTGCAAAATTCTGACACTACACTTTATGAAATAGTCACAAAATCCCATACCACAAAACAAAAGTTGATATTTGTAGAAAGTACCCCTCCCTGAGGATTAATTAAAGGATAACTAAATGCACCCAGTCCACCTCATCTGAATGAAGTGGTCTGGGAGCAGTGGTCCTTTAGTTTTAACCCTGCAATGTAAAACAAACCTAGAGTCACTAGAGGGTCACTAGAGGGTGCTTCTTCTGAATAAGCGAGTCGGACTCAAATATTCAGTCAAACGACTCTCATAGAGTAGCATTTGATTGTAGGAGAATGGTGTTTTCCTGCCCATGTGCACTAGCCACCCAGTGGGGAAGCATTGGATTGGCTGAGATCGTCAGTATTTATGATCTCAGCCATGGAGGTAGGACCAGGATCATGGAGACCTGTGTGGTGAGGGCTACAAGGTGAGTAAAAACATTATTTTTACTGCCAGTGTGGGGAGGTGGTAAACTAAATAGTGAGAAAGTGAGAAAAACGCTATGGAGTTCCTTTAAATAAAGCATTTTGATACATTTAATTTTTTTCATTTCACTTTTTTTTGTTGTTTTATGCATGTTTAATTTTTATGTGGAATTTCATCAGCCACACTACATATGTTTGCCAGATGTTTGAGGGACTTGGTTAAAAAATAGACGTCCTCATTTTGATTACTTTTTATATCATCATAGTGACCCTAGCTACCTGTAACACTATCTAGCAAATGTTGTGCCCATTCACACTATCTAGCAAAATACCTAGTGAATGTTGTGCCCATTCACAAGAAAGGTAGTAGGGAGGAATTGGGCAACTATAGGCCAGTAAGCCTTACTTCAGTAGTGGGGAAAGTAATGGAAACCATGTTAAGGATAGGATTGTTGAACATCTAAAAACACATGGATTTCAAGATCAGAGACAACATGGGTTTACTTCAGGGAGATCATGCCAAACTAATCTTATTGATTTTTTTAATTGGTTAACTAAAATAATAGATCAGGGTGGTGCAGTAGACATTGCTTACCTAGATTTCAGTAAGGCTTTTGACACTATTGCACAGAGAAGGCTTATCAATAAACTGCAATCTTTAAGTTTGGATTCCAATATTGTTGAATGGGTAAGGCAGTGGCTGAGTGACAGGTAACAGAGGGTTGTAGTCAATTGAGTATATTCGAAGCATGGGCTTGTCACCAGTGGGGTACCTCAGGGATCTGTACTTGGACCCATTCTCTTTAATATTTTTATTAGTGATATTGCAGAAGGTCTTGATGGTAAGGTGTGTCTTTTTGGATACTAAGATATGTAACAGGGTTGATGTTCCAGGAGGGATAAGCCAAATGGCAAATGATTTAGGTAAACTAGAAAAATGGTCAGAGTTGTGGCAACTGACATTTAATGTGGATAAGTACAAGATAGTGCATCTTGGACGTAAAAACCCAAGGGCAGAGTACAGAATATTTGATCGAGTCCTAACCTCAACATCTGAGGAAAGGGATTTAGGGGTGATTATTTCTGATGACTTATAGGTAGGTAGACAATGTAATAGAGCAGCAGGAAATGCTAGCAGAATGCTTGGTTGTATAGGGAGAGGTATTAGCAGTAGAAAGAGGGAAGTGTTCATGCCATTGTACAGAACACTGGTGAGACCTCACTTGGAGTATTGTACACAGTACTGGAGACCGTATCTTCAGAAGGATATTGATACCTTAGAGAGGGTTCAGAGAAGGGCTACTAAACTGGTTCATGGATTGCGGGATAAAACTTACCAGGAAAGGTTAAAGGATCTTAACATGTATAGCTTGGAGGAAAGACGAGACAGGGGGGATATGATAGAAACATTTAAATACATAAAGGGAATCAACACAGTAAAGGAGGAGACTATATTTAAAAGAAGAAACACTACCACAGCAAGAGGACCTAGTCTTAAATTAGAGAGGCAAAGGTTTAAAAATAATATCAGGGGGGCGTGGCTTGGACGGAATGGCGGCGTGAACCACGAGCTCCCGGCTGGCTCAGCTCCTATACCCGCCTAATCAGCTCCACTACCGAAACAATGGGCAAAACTAACAAGCCACAACAGGCTGCAGCGGTCGCCAACACGCCGAGAGGGTCTCAACCAACTGGCATGCGCTAGTATCTCACAACCCAGGCCGACCACACTTCTCAGGCCTCCGGTGACCATGAAGCCTCGGGCCTGGGCCGCCCGTCCTCACCCAGAGACGGACATCACGACCAGGTACAACACCCGCCTGACACTCCCCTACCCCAGCTGGACTGGGTATCACTCATAAATAACCTACCCACAAAAAATGACCTGAAGGAGGCCAATGCCGCCCTCCATAAATCCATCACTGGGGAACTCCAAGCCCTGAGGGAAGACATGCAAGGGATCCATCATAAATTGGCCCAGCTGGAGGCAGATTGCGACCACGTGACGTCGGCGCAGAACACTACCACGGGCACCAAAGCAGCAAGAATCACAGTTGCGCCAAATGGCCCTCTATTTGGAGGATTTAGACAACCGGGGAGGGCAACAAAACATCAGAGTCAAGGGTCTACCCGAAGAATGGGACCAGACTACCCCAATACGGGACACCCTCACAGAGATTTTTAATGCCCTCCTACAAAGGCCGAACACAGCGCCCATCGAATTTATTAGGGCGCACAGAGCCCTCAGACCCAGGGGCCCACCTGACTCCCCGCCTAGAGACGTAATATGCTGCCTAACACACTTCCAGGTGAAGGAAGACATTCTGAAAAGTGCCAGGGATAAAAGACAAATCATCCACAATGGCACTGAAATCCAACTGTACCCAGACCTATCCCCTGCAACATTGGCGTACCGACGAGCCATGCGCCCACTCACGCGAGTACTACAGACTAACAAGATCAGATACAGGTGGAATTTCCCCACCCGAATACAAGTCACCACAAGTAATGGCCCCTTCACGGTGAAGAACGAGGGAGACCTGATGGATCTAACGAGAGAACTACAACTCCCACCGATACAAATGACTTGGCCGGATCCAATGGCCTTCTACGCCTTTTCACCAGAGATACAGCGCCAGACGCAACAACCCCCGAGACCCAGAAAAACGAGACAGCAGACAACGCGCCCTACGGGCACCAACATGTAAAAGACCACGCACTACCTGCCCACCCTCCCGGGAACCCACATGGCCCAGCAATGAACTAGACAGACACTGCCTGTCCCTGATCGACGAGACCAAAATCCCTGAATCCACAGCGCTGAAATCCTCAAAACCGCAAGTATACGGCCCAAGGGGCGGCACACTCAACAAGGTCTAACACAGATATAAAGGTTAAGAGACCTATAAAGAGATACACCGAACCTTGAGACCCAAGCGGCAGGTTTGGCACAGATGCTTGGCCCTGCAGAGCCCCTCGGCCTGTCGGGTTACTCCTGGACTAACCGTACTTAAGCTAGGGGTGGGGGGAGAGGTACCAGCGGCCCATACTCTTAGTCCCAACACTGCAATAAGAGGGAGCGGGGAGGCGGAGCCGGAACCCAACCGCGCTATGACGAAACCCGGGGAGCAGGTGGGGGGCGCCGCTGGCGGGGCACACCCGGGGTGGGGGCGCCGGCTCCGTACCCAGAATAGATGGGAAGCGACAAAACCGAGAAGACCTACTCAAAACCACCCACCGAACAGCCACACGCTACTGGAAACAGGGGGAGGGAAGCACAACACACGGGGAAACACTACGAAGGGTGCACCCCACATAGCCACAGAGGCAGAGAAAAAGGATACACCAGTCAGGCCCAAACCCATGGGAACAACCTTCACACTCTAACCCCTATCAGGGACACCCACACATCTCGAGAAAGCTAGTGAGCATGACGCAAAGACACAAGGGACACAAAAGCACACACTAGACAGGTGGGCTAGTGGGAACCTGGGACGCAGGGAGACGGAGGTAAACTGTGCATGAACCTGAAATAAGAGCTGTTGGAATTTTGTTTTGTTTTCACCTGTTGTGATCTTAAATCGAAATGTTAATATTACTGTTATTGTTTATGTCTTACAACTCAGCCACAAACAAAAGGACCGCATATATAGACACTCATCCATACAAGCCCGAGAACCACCACACCCCGAGGCGAGGCGTCACCCAGAAGGTGAGCAACCCACGTGCATCACTGGTGGTGCCGTGGACTGACGCTCCCCGACGCCACTACCTAGTCGTCACGAACTGTGACGCAAACAAAGGAGGTCTTTGGAAATCTCCAAGACTACTCCACTACCTCATCCCCCTAATCCTTACCTAACCCCATCCCCTGACTCCCCAACCTGACACCGACAGCAGAACGTGAGACCTCCTGAGACTACACACACCACAGGGACTTAGGGCAAAGATACCTCCACAACACCCGTCGACAACAACCTGACTCGACGATCTGACACTGACCCCAGACCACTTACATATCCTCACAATCAATGCTAAAGGCCTAAATAAACCAGAGAAGAGATCAGGAGCATTGAGAGACTTCCACAAACAGAGGGCCTCTATAGTCATGATACAGGAAACCCACTTTAAAAAAGGGACCAGACCCAAACTGACTAATCAGCACTACACGCAAGGATACTACAGTGACTATCAAGGGGGTAAGGCTAGGGGGACAGCAATACTTCTTCACAGGAGGGTGCCGTTCCAGGAGGGGGGATGCAAGTCAGATGACGAAGGCAGATACCTATTTCTTAAAGGGAAGATCGCAGACCACCAGTACACATTCGCAAACATCTATGCCCCAAGCAAACAACACTATCGCTTCCTCAAGCAGACACTCCGCAAACTCCAAGAATTCGCAGAAGGGACTCTCATACTGGAGGGGCGACTTTAATATAACACTCGACCCATCATGGGACAACTCATCGGGCATCTCCCATGTCCCCACACAACAACTTCAAACCATTAAATCCCTACTCCAGAGCCGACGACTCATGGACTGCTGGAGAGCCCATCACCCAGACGTAAGAAACTACACCTTCTACTCCCACCCGCACAACTCTTACTCCCGAATAGACCACATTTACACTACACACTACGACCTCTCCCTAGTGTCCGATGTAACAATCGGAGTGGCCACATGGTCAGACCACGCCCCAGTATTACTCAAACTTAAATCACCACTTTACCGCCCCACGACCTCAAAATGGAGATTGAACGAATATTTACTCTCCAAACTAGAGGTCGCAACCCACATAGGTGAAAAAATCAAGGACTACCTGACAACCAACACGGCAGAGCAAACATCCCCGACGATTCGATGGGAAGCACACAAAAGCGTGATAAGAGGCCACTACATACAACAGGGGGCAATACTAAAGAAACAAGCTGAAGCTCGGCTACAGGAACTGCTGACCAACATACACGAGACAGACAACCAAAACAAACAAACCCCGAACCACACGCACCAAACTCGACTCCTACAACTGAGACGGGAGCTAGCCACACTATTGCACTCTAAACATCACAGGGACGCGACTAGGCACAAAGCCTTCTTTACAATACATAGGAACAAAAGCGGCAAACTCTTAGCTGCGATGCTGAAGAAGCAGAGGCAACACACATACACTGACAAAATTAGAGACAAACAGGGGACCCTACACCGACTCCCGACAGCCATAATGAAAACGATCTGCACATACTATACAGAGCTATACACGCTCCCCCAACCGAAGACCAACGCGGCGACGACGCGCCTCAGAGACTCCATCCGAGACTACCTGACAAAATACCCAACACCGACACTCGACGCGGAGATAGCGGAGTTAATAGACGAACCCATCACAATAGAGGAACTAGCACTGGCGGTTAAACTAACTAAACCGGGCAAAAGCCCAGGACCAGACGGCTTACCGACGAAATATTATAAGACATACGCCGAAGACTTATACCCACCCATGGTGGAAGTGTTCAATTCGATAAGAGACGGAAACCACATCCCCAGACAAGCCCTAACAGCCCACATCACTATTATTCCCAAGGACGGCAAAGACAGGGAACAATGCGGAAACTATAGGCCGATCTCACTTATAAATAGCAATATCAAACTACTGGCCAAAATTCTGGTGACTCGACTTACAAAACACATCCCATCACCGGTCCACCCAGACCAGGTGGGATTCATGACAGGACGAGAGGCTCGGGACAACACCATCAGGGCGCTCACCCTCATGCACGGGAAAAAAAGTACGAAAGGGGGCCTTCTCCTGCTGTCAACAGATGCAGAGAAGGCCTCCGATAGAGTCGGCTGGACATATCTCTTCAAAACACTAGCCCACGTAGGATTAGGACATGCGACGCTGGATAGAGGCACTGTACCGAGAACCAACGGCCCAAGTGCTGGTCAATGGGGCGTTAACTGACACCTTCACAATACATAATGGCACGAGACAGGGATGCCCCCTCTCCCCACTCCTGTTCGTCCTTGCCCTGGAACCATTCGACACAACACAGATATAACCGGCCTAATGACAGGCACTACACACCACAAGGTAGCCGCTTACGCTGATGACCTACTCTTTGTGGTAACCAACCCCGAAATCTCCTTCCCAAACATCCAGAGAGACCTACAGATATATGGAGAAATATCCAACTTGAAAATTAACTACGGTAAATCGTTCATTCTCAACGTTAACGTCCCTACTGCACTGGCAGACCCCCCTCCAACAAAGCTTCCCCTTCCAATGGGCCGAACACAAAATTAGATATTTGGGAGTCTGGCTGACCAAACGGAGCGAGGATATGTTTAGGGAAAATTTCACAGATACACTCCAGACATTCCAAAAAGACATGCGGGAATGGTCATACCCCCACATCTCATGGGTAGAGTACAGGAGAGTACAGGTTATAAAAATGAACTTCCTCCCACGCCTCCTATACCTCCTCCAAGCCATCCCCATCGAGATCCCAGGCCCCTTTTTTAACACTCTTAGAACAGAAATGACCAGATACGTATGGAATGGGGGGAGACCCAGGGTGAAATTCTCCACCCTGACGCGACCTAAGGATAAAGGAGGATTAGCCCTCCCAGACTTCCACCTATACTACGTGGCCACACACCTACAGAGAATCGTGGTGTGGTCAAAAGACAGAGTGCACAAATTATGGAAGACGGTGGAAGAGACAGAGGTGGGTAGACCGCTCTCGGGACTACCCTGGGGCCGAGACATGGCAAAATGGGGCAAAATGTCCATCTACACAAAACACACTCTGAAAGTATGGAGGAGGGCAGCGAGGAAGGGGACCATGTCGCCATATCCCTCTCCCCTCTTACCACTGATGCACAACAACGACTTCCCCCCGGGACTAGACCCAAGAGCCTTCAAAGACATCCTCCAAGACTCACACCCATGCTTACACCATGCCCTGCAGGGAGGGAAATGCAAAAAACTGACAGACATGACGAGAGGGATACCCCCAACCTTTATGCATCATTTTAGATATACCCAACTAATCAACTTCGTCCATACTTTACCACAGGGCTCAGCTCTCACTAGACAACATACCACACTAGAAGTGGTCTGCATGCACCCAGACCTGCTCCCACATGGAGTGTCCTTCCTATACACCATGCTACAAACGGACATCTCGACCGAGACACCCCTATTTATGGGGAAATGGGAGGCTGCCCTCGGATACACACTGACAGACACGGAGTGGGAGTCCATCTGCTATCTCACACACCACTGCTCTACACATAGCAAAACGCAAGAGACAGCCTATAAATTACTAACACAATGGTACAGGACACCACATCTCCTCCACCAGATAGACCCAGACCAATCCGGCCTATGCTGGAGATGCCAACAAGAGGAAGGCAGTATAACACACATCCGGTGGGACTGTGCAAAGATCAAACCATATTGGCGGAATATACACAAAATGCTAGAGAAATTCACGGATAAACCACCCCCCTGGAACTGGCAGCAATGCTCCTGCATCACACTTCTGTTCCCCACTCCAAATACAAAAGATCTATGACCATTTGAATACTCAATGTAGCCAAACGAGTGCTCCCCCAATTCTGGAAACAGAGCATAACACCCCCACTTTAAGACCTGGTTCAGCCAAATGGAGGAACTCAGGACAATAGAGGAACTGACCATGACGACTAATGCTACCCCGACGACCTACATGGACATATGGACATATTGGATCCTAGAGACGGCGAAGGAAGGATTCCAAATGGAACTCAGATCCGACGAATGCCACACCACAGACAGATAGGACTTAGGGAACACACACTGGACGACAGACAATGACAGACAACTGACTACCCTAACACCCCCCCACCCCAACCCCGACTTTCCTCCCCCCTTCTAAGGACCCACATGAGACAACAACCCCAACCCAAGCAGACACACGTACCAATAAGAGGAGACACCTGAGCCCTGAATGCTAAACTCATATGGATCCGGGTTTATCTCCCGACCTACAAGGGATACCACCCCCGTGGCACACATAACGAACAGTCATGATAATCATCGGACAGCCCGAGGGCTACACCAAAATACGCTCATGCCCTCCCGAAATTATGGAACACAAACCCCACAACACGGACGCACCCTTACCCACACACACGGCACTCAGGACACTGAGAGGAGAGACGCACGAATCCACTCAGGACACAATACACAATCCAAGACGAAGAGACCTGTGAGTCTCCTAACAATGGAGGTTGGACGAGAGGCCTGCGAGCCTCAGCACATTCTGTACACAAATCAAAACTGCTATATACGAAACTGCTATATATAAACCATATACATACGGCTTGCTCAATAGGCCAAGTCGCAGAAGAAAAATGTAATTGAGAATACTCGTGACACTTGATAAAAGGGACTTGCAAGTCCGTCAACATTGTGGGCCTGCGAGCCCAACTAAACATCAGTGTTTTCTTATCTTCTGATAACTCACCTTGGAGACCTGCGAGTCTCAAAATCTTGAATAATCTATACAAATAAAAATTATATTCACAAAAAAAAATAATAATAATATCAGGAAGTATTACTTTACTGAGAGGGTAGTGGATGCATGGAATAGCCTTCCAGCTAAAGGGGTAGAGGTTAACACAGTAAAGGAGTTTAAGCATGCGTGGGATAGGCATAAGGCTATCCTAACTATAAGATAAGGCTAGGGACTAATGAAAGTATTTTACAAATTGGGCAGACTAGATGGGCCAAATGGTTCTTATCTGCCGTCACATTCTATGTTTCTAACCCTAACTATATATGTCTAGCTTAATCCAACACTAGCTAACCCTTAGCCTTTCCTTATACACCCCTGATACTAACCCTAGTCACAACCCTAATTCTATATCTATCCTAATCCTACACTAACTATAACACTAAAATTAACCTAACATCAATGCAAAACCCATCGAAGTGTAAGTGTACAGATTAAGTATAAAGTATGCATTTCTCATTATAGGTATACACTTTATACACAGCTGGATGTAATATTGCAACAAATATGCTTGGTAACAAAAGACAGAACACTACAAAAGTAAAATCGAATGATGTGAATTAAACACAAAATTTAGTTGAACAAGAAAATAATAATAATACCCTTGTCTGCCATAAACGTCAAGGTTCCAAAAGCAATAAAAGTTATATATACACAAAGCATGACATTGGCAGCAATGAGTACAAGAACCTCTATATATTTAATAGAAGCCTATACAAACTTGACATTTTTAAAAACATGTTGTTTATATGAACTGCACGTTAGTTGAATTAATACTTTAAATGGTAGGAATAGCCAAGACAATTTTATGGTGCTATCTAACTTGTTTGTACTTTGTAGGTTTCCCGATAGACTGTGATAAACTTCCTAAAGGCAGTCAAAGTGGAGTGTATGTGATCAAGCCTAGTTCTTCACCTCCCCTGGTGGTTTTCTGTGAAATTGATGATGAAGGCAATCGTTGGACTGTATTGCAGAGGAACACCCTGAAAACTGAAATCACTTGGTATGAGTCCTGGACAACCTACAAGTATGGCTTTGGCAACGTGCTGCAAGATCACTGGCTGGGCAATGAGTACATCCATTTGTTGACTGCCCAACGTCCCTATATGGTGCGCTTTGTGATGGTTGACAAGAATGATAAGGAATTTTATGCTGACTATGATATCTTCAGCATTGACCAAGAGGTCAATGGATATACCCTTCGCCTGGGAAGATATTCAGGCACAGCTCCAGACTTTCTTACTACTTTCGACTCAGGAAATGTGCATGACAATATGAAGTTCTCCACTAAGGATAAGGATCAGGACCGGAGCAGTTCACACTGCGCCGCCAGTTACGGAGGATGGTGGTTCGATAACTGCCAGCTTGTTCACTTGAATGCCAAGGGCTACATATTGTGGAAGAGTATCTGCAGTGGTGACTGTACTAAGTCCAAGATTATGGTCAAACCCACAGGTATCTGCTGAGGACCATATTTATGAACAAATATAATCTATCCAGACATTAACAATGGAGGTCAAGGCAACCTCCCCAGAGTAGATGATGGAATTCTCTTTGGCTTTTGTGTATTAAATTAAGGTTTAGGAAAAATGCCATGAGTTCAGTGCTATTCTGTATATTTTCAACTACATGTACTTGCAACTAGCAAGCTACCCCAATATGCAATTGTTTAATAGAAATACTCAGAGGTGTAATGATAAATGTCTGGGGCCCAGTTCAAAATCAACAGCTGCCCCCCTTATTTACAAATTCAACCCAACACATCAGGTTATCCTTACATGACAAGCAACTGATGATGATGACAGGAAAGGGAGTGGCATACATCAAAGTATTCATTCATCAGTAGAAGTTTCTTAAATATATATTATTATAATTAATCACTAAAGTATTTCCTGCTTGCATTTACAATAATTATAGGCACAGTGTTTCTAAATATGCTGTTTGTGGAATAGAAGGTTGGCAAAGTGAGCCCTACAGAATGTACCGTAGTTAAATTGAAATTTCATATTTAAAATGTAATTTAAAACTTAGTGGATATTTACATTGATTCCTAGCACCTACTAGGTACTTTACCTAAAACTTGCTCCCAAAAAGTTCTATCCAATAAAAATGTACAAAATATTCTAAGTTTCTTAGTGCTTATAGTTAATTCTAATTTCTTATTTTCATCAAGAGTTACTCAAAGCATCATGCTCACTTTAATGATTTGAAGTGGTCATGGTGCCGGAGTCATGTGCCGGAGTCAGCATTTTGCTGTTAAACATTGCACACAAGTTTAACCCCTATGCTGCCAGATGTGTAACTCCACTGCCAGCAGCATCATGGGGCTGTCAGTACTGCTCAAATCACAGTGTGCCATTCATTGGCTGAGAGTGATGAGCTGGCGCTCTCAGCCAATAAATGGCAAACAGAAAGGCTTCCGACTTCTGCATCTCTGCTAAAGCCAGAAGCGTGCATCCCAGGCCTCAAAGCTCAGGAGAAGTAAGAAGCCAAACCATTGTAAACAGTTTGCCCCATTACTGGAAAACCAGGCCGGGGTACTCTTGGCATCATAACCACTTGGTGGGTTGTAGGCTCCAGGCCCGGACTGGCCATCGGGCATACCAGGCAAATGCCCAGTGGGCCGTGATGATAAGGGGCCGAGGCTGGCAGGGGAGATCACAGGATCTCCCCGGCCGGCCCGTGCAGGGCCGACACTATCAGTGTCCCGGCCCTGCTGTGTGCCTTCATTGGCTGGTGGGGAGATCAAAGATCACGCTGCTGCTGGCTGGGGAGGGAGTGGAGGACCCAGTGGAGCTCTACCCTGCAGTTCCACCGGGTTCCTCTCACGAGGTCGGAGCGTTGCCACGGTTACCGCGGCAATGCTCAGATCTTGCGAGAGTGAACTCTACCCCAGGAACTGCAGCGTGGAGTTCACTCACCACTAGGACCACCAGGGACTGCAGCACGGCCCTCCTCCATGGCAGCACAGCACACACACACACAGAACACTCAAACTAGCGACACATACAGCACCCTCAGACACACACACTCACACACACAGCACCCTCAGACACATACACAGCACCCTCACACACATCACCCTCACACTAACAGCACACTTGCACACACAGCACCCTCACACACACAGCACCTTCAGACACACACACAGCACCCTCAGACACACATAGCACCCTCACAGACACACACAGCACACTTACACCCACAGCACCACCAGACACACACAGCACCATCAGACACACACACTCACACACGCAGCACCCTCAGACACATACACAGCACGCTCACACTAACAGCACACTTGCACACACAGCACCCTCAGACACACACAGCACCCTCAGACACACATAGCACCCTCACAGACACACATATCACACTTACACACACAGCACCCTCACACACACAGCACCCTCACAAACACACACAGCACACTAACATCACACTTGCCCACACAGCACCCTCACGCACACACAGCACCCTCAGACAAACACACAGCACCCTTACACACACACACAGCACACTCACAATAACAGTACACTTACCCACACAGCACCATCACTCACACACAGCACCTTCAAACACACAGCACTCTCACACACACACAGCACCCTCAGACACACACCACACCATCAGACACATACACAGCACACACACAGCACACTCACACACACAGCACCCTCAGACACCAGGGACGTATTAGCCGCGAGGCAAACAAGGCATTTGCCTTGGGCAGCATTTTCCAGGGGGCAGTAAAAAACGCCGCCCCCAAATGCCCAGGGCAAATGTCTTGTTAGCCTTGCGGCTAAATGACATGCTAGGCGGGCGGGCGGCTGGCGAGGGATCTCTTCCTCTGAGCGGTCTGCTCAGCTCCCTCACGTGCCGCAGACGTCATATTCCGGCTCCCAGCCTCACTTCGTGAGAGTGTGTGTTTAAAACCCCTTCAGCACTTACCTTTCTCCTGTTAGTATGAGTGTGCTGTGTTTCTCGGAAACTGCTATGTTTTCAGCTGCAGGGTTAAAACTAGAGGGACCTGGCACCCAGACCACTTCAGTGAGCTGATGTGATCTGGGTGTCTGTACTGGTCCTTTAAGTGTGTGTATCTGCATGCACTGGCGTACATACTGCAGTCGCAGCCCTGCGACCAGGTGCCCGCCGCCATGTGTTCTGGCCTACGCAGAGTAAGCGCGGGGGGGAGGGGCACAGATCAATTTTCGCACCGGGGCCCCATGGGTCGTGTGTACGCCACTGGGATGTAGTGTGTGTTTGTGTGTACAGAATGCATTGTATGTTTCTGGGTGGGTGTGTGTAAGAGATGCAAGGTGTGTTTCTGTGTATGTAATTTAATGCAGTGTGTGTCTGTAAGGGGTGCATTGAGTGTGTGTAAGAGATGCATTTTGTTTCTGTGTGTGTAAGAGAATCAGTGCGTGTGCGCAAACGGCATGCATTGTGTGTTTCGGTGTGTCTGTGTGTGTGTAGAGATGCATTGTATATGTGTATAGTGTAAAATAGAGGGTTTGTCTGGTAGGATAGGGACTGAGAGGGGAGCAGCTCTTTATTTTTTTTTATAGTGCTCTCCCCTCCTGTCAATTAGTGATCTCCCCTTCTGTCCCTTAATGCTCTCTCTTGGCCCCCTGTCCCTCAGCAGTCCCCCCTTGGTGGTCTCACTCCCCCCTCTTACCCTCCCTTAGTGGTCCTCCCTCTCCCTCCACCATTTAGTGGTCCTCCACCTCCCCCACTCTCCCAAACCCCTTAGTGGTCCTTCTCCTCCTCCTACCCCCCCCCTTAGTGGTCCATCCCCTCTCCCCCCCTCAGTGGTCCTTACCCTGTTCCTCCCCTTAGTGGTCCTTTCACCCCACCCCTTTAGTGGTCCTTTCCCCCTCCTCCTCCACTCCACCTCCCTAGTGATCCTTTCTCCCACCTCCCCCCCCCACCCCACCTCCCTAGTGGTCCTTTCCCCCTCCTCCCCCCCACCCTCTCAGTGATCCTTTCCCCCTCCTTCTCCCCACCCTCTCAGTGGTCCTCCATCTCTCCCACTCTCCCAAACCCCTTAGTGGTCCTTTCCCTCCTCCCCACCTTAGTGGTCCTTACCCTCTTCCCCTTTAGTGGTCCATTCCCCCCCCCCTTTAGTGGTCCTTTTCTCCCACCCTTTTAGTGGCCCTTTCCCCCACCCTTTTAGTGTGGTCCTTTCTCCTTCACTAGTGGTCCTCGTGGTCCTCGAATGAAGGGGTGTATTTATATATAATTTTGATGTTTTAAAAAAAAAAAAAAAGTATGTTTGTATGTAGTGTTGATGCAGGGGTGGGGGTGTATTTGTGTTTTGTGTTGGCGTGACTGCTGAGATGTATGCACATATACACATTCACACACACACACAGATATACACACTGACACACAAGCGGTTATACAGACAAATATACACACACTGACACACAGATAAAGTCACACAGATACACAACCTGACACACATGCAGATACACAGACACACATGCAGATACATACACACACGGACATACACACTGACATATACACACAGATACACATACAGCTACACAGAAATACACAATGACAACATACAGATACACATATACACACACTGACACACTTGCAGATACACACACAGACTACATACAGATACACACGCATATATACACACTGACACATACACACAGATACACAGATACACAGACACATATAGTGACAGACATGCTGACACACACAGATTTACGCTGACAGACATACTTATACAGACACATACAGACAGACACATACTAAAACACACAGACATACTGAAAGACATGCTGACACATTCACTGACACAAACATACACTGACATACTGTCATGGCCCCCGGCTCACCGCCGTGTGCGTTCGTGCCCGACCGGCACCACCGCACCAGCTCACTGAGCTTACCTGCTCAGCGGCGAGCCGGGAACCGTTCCTCCGCACTGCTCGGGGAAATCCAAGATGGCGCCGACCATGAGGTCGCGTCCATCCATGGCTCCACCCCCCAAAATTTTACGAACGTGAACGTGACGTCACAACGTCAACGCACACGCACGGTGTGGGGTCAGAGGGTGCCTAAAGAGGGATATTTAAATCCCTAATTCACCCCAGTACCTTGCCCTGTCGTGGTTTCCTGCTCCTGGTTCCCTAGAGTGCGTTTATCTTTGTGAATATTACTTCCTGGTATCCTGATCCTGGCTTTTCCCTGGTTATTCCGAATTCTGGTTCCCCTGACTTGGCTTGTTTAAATGGTATCTGAGTATTTCTGGCTTCCTTGACCTCGGCTTTCCCTTTGACCATTCTCTATCTCTAGCGTATTAGTCCGGCCATTCTAAGGTCCGGTTTACGCTCTGTCCTTTTTTATGTTTCTACGTGTTGGACCACGCTAGCAGCCGTGACACATACTGACACATGCAGACATACGGATACAGACATGCACACACTCACACACATACACACTGACAGCCATACTGACACATACATTGACAGCCACACCGACACACACACGCATACTGACAAGCATATTGACACACATTCACAGACATATTGGCACACACACACTGAGAGATACACATATACTGACAGACATACATATTGGCACACTGACAGACATACTGACATACACAGACACACACAAACTGACAGACATACGGACATACAGACATATACTGACAGACATTCGCAGACACAAGCTAACAGACATACTGACAGACACACATATACTGACAGACATTGACATACATCCACTGACACACACACTGACAGACATACTGACAGACATTCACAGACACACACAAACTGACAGACATACTGACACACACAGACATACATATTGGCACACTGACATACATACTGACATTTACTGACACACATTCACAGACACACACACAAAATGTACACTTTTAAGCCCACCCTCCAGTATCCTACCTTGGAGAGTTGTGGCTGAAGCTGTTGGGAGTTGGGGTTTGCTCTTCCGGCCTGACCTCTGCCTCCTCCGTCTTTCCCGCGCGGCTCATCTTTGTGGGAGGAAGTGACTCGCGGTCGGTACTTCCTTCCATGTTACCGAAAAGCAAGAGGGCCCGGCCGCGCTGTTAAAGCGCCAAAGCGCATGACCGGGCCCCTGCTAACACAAGCCCACCGGGTGGCCCTTAGTGCATAGGCCTCCCGGAGGGTCTCCTTATCGTGCGCGTTCACTGGTGGGCCATGGAGGGGGAAAAGAAATGGTCGAGGGCAGCGGGGCCCACGGGGCAGCTGCCCCGTTTGCCTGACGTTAAAGATGGCCCTGGTCCTTCCACCCCCACCTCCTTAGTGGTCCTTTCCCCCTTCTCCCCCCCACCTCCTTAGTGGTCCTTTTCCCCTTCTCCCCCCACCCCCTCAGTGGTCCTTTCCCCCTTTTGTCCTACCTATATAGCGTGGCCGGGCGTCGCCGACCGCAGTACAGGAACTTCTGTTTCCTGTACCTGGCCGCCGGCGGACTGAAGGGAAGCGTTCACTAAGTGAGCACTTCCTGTCATTCCACCGGCGGCCGGGTACAGGAAACAGAAGTTCCTGCTCTGCGGTCCACGCCGTCCGGCCACGCCACATTGAGTGATCGGCAGGAGGGAGCGCTGTGTGCTTCCCTCCTGCCGGTCACCTAAATCTGGCGCTCCCCCCCGGGCCGGTGCACCCTAGGCCCTGGGTCCTTTACACACCAGATCCCCTACACACACACACTGCACCACCTACACACTACATTCCTGACATACAAATTCTGGATCCCCTATGCACACACTACATTCCTTGTTAGCAAACACGTGCTACATTCTCTAAAAACACACACTCTCTACAACCCCTACACACACTACAGCCCGTATGCACACACTCACTACATCCCCAATACACATTTTGCCCCCTATACACACACACTCTCTACAGCCCCTAGCACCATACGCTTTCCAGACCCTTTTGCCCTTGATATCCCACTTATGGAGACACCAGGGACAAGTTAAAAGCAAACACAGCGCAAGCATGTTATTAAATTTGCTTGCGCTGCTCAGAACAGATACAGGGCATTTATCTCATGCTAGAGCTCTTCAGCGGGGCTCTGCGCATTGAACTAACATGTTCACTTTGAGAGGGGGCGTGCTTGTCATTAGTGATGACAAAACACACCCTCTCTGGCCCCGCCCCTTTCTCAGGTAACCGCTGTGATTGAAAAATTCCCGGGCCGAGTTTTTCTCCCAGTCCAGCCCTGGTTGTAGCAGTTATAGTGCTTACAGTAATTAGTGAAGATTATTTCAAACTTGGATAAAATCAAAAGAGGAAATTGAACTCAGATAGTAAACTTAATAAACATTTTTGTTGTAACATTAAAAGACAGCTATTGCCTCAAAACTATTTGGAATATAATAAACCTGTCATCAAGTTTTGAAAGGAATTCTTTTTATTAATGAAGTACATGTAGTACAATGAGAAAAGCGTAGTCCTGTCTTCAGTGTATGACAGAATCCTTTAGCCATAAACATGCACCATGGGTCGGACAGTTTTGAATACTAACATTTAGATTCTAAGATGGCCCCATTCTTCACTCACTGAGCAGGGTTTAACATAACAGTATGGCTTGTAAATGGGAGTTTGTCAGGGAATGTCCATAAAGCAGGGAATGGCAAAATGCTGGTTTTCTGTTTCTCAAATAAGCAAATAAGTAACAAATACAAACTAATAAACCTGCACTGTCAATTGATTACTCTCAGCCAATGAGCTAAGCCAGCCCTGCTTAGGAATTTCCAGCTTTCTACCATATGTAGTGGCAACCAGCTAACCCCAGTTAAGAAGTCAAACTATGTAAAAACAGTTTGGCTACTTAACAATGGAGAGTGCCAGGCGCTCATGGCACCATAACTTCTACATACTACTACAGTCAGCTGTTGTGGTTATGGTGCAAGGACTGCACCTCTAAGGTATTTTTTATTTAGGCATAACCATTCCACTAACCCAAATTGGGCATGTGTGTGAAAAGGTGTGTATGCACTGAGTGAATAGAGTTTAGATTGTCACTGTTGCTTTTATGTATTGACCACATTCACATAAAGAATCAGTCACCACGGATCCACATTTACACCTTTGCAGATAAAATCTTGTTCAGGCACAGCTAAAAACAATTGCTTGCCCATATGGACAAACCCACCAAAATCACATTCAATGTAACTAAAAACATCAGTAAAAATGAGGCATGGCATAATTTGCTAAGAAAAGTTACAAACAGATGTCGGAACTTAAAAGCCATATGGAACCCGCCATTAGAATAAATTTGGCTGACGTAGATGACCGATGAGATTGTGGCCCCCAAAAATCTAATTACAAAATATTTGTTCTTTAATTATTTCAACAGTAAACCAGTAGCCAAGGCAATTCATTCATTCACCTGATGGTACCAGGAGCACTATGTTTAAACCAAATCAGTAGCCACTATGAATGAGCACCATTTTCAATCCCTCTGGAAAATCTTGCTGAACACACTATGGCTAAATCTTTGTGGCACCAAGAATCATTCTTCTGATCATTTCATATCTATTTATATTTACCTGATGTATAATGAGATTGTTGACCTATTACAATAAAGTCATACATTTTTCTGATTAAAAAAATAATAAATCTCAAAATTTGACAGTTTTGTTTTTTATTTGATAAATAGTTGCATGTGTAGGCTATGATTCCCTTTCTACAGAAGTTAACCCTGGTTCACTATCAATGCTTGTTTCCAGGATCCCATCACATTATAAATGGTTCTTCCAATAGTCCAAGTAGATCTATCATAATGCCAAACGCTTGATTATTCTAACTAGCTTTTCCAATGAAATCCTAGAAACCTATACTCTTGTTAAATCCCAACTTCACAAAACTCCAAAGGAGTCGGGTGCCAAAACCTTGGTCATTTTCTGAGTGTTGAGTGTTCTAGACCTTACAATGAATCTAGATCTCAAAGCATAAGCCCATCTTTAAGGCCAAATAAAGATGCTATGTTTATGTTACCTGATGCTGCTGTCTTTTGTTCTCTTGGGAGGAAGAATTAGAGCTGGTAGCTCTGTAGAGGCAAATGAAGTGTAGAAAATCCCACCTACTATCTAATTAAAAGTCGGGGAGGTATTTCTGCCCCCTGTTCTATACATGACGAATGCTACTGAAATTTTATAAATTGTTAAAAAAAAAAAGTTTTAGACTCCAGTCACATAAAGCACTTTAGCAAGCAGCAGAACTGATTTATGTGTCCAGTGTTTCTTTACAACTCCTTTTGGGAATGTTGTACATGCAAAGTAATGAGTGTCCACTAGGTGGCCATCTTGTTCTTATGACACATGAGAAATACTGTAACCAAAATATTACATATATGGTAGGTAGGTCATAGTGAATAAAACAGTAATATTCATTGTAGCTGAACAGTACTACTAAATATTTTATTATAACATTATTCATTGCTTTCCTTCTGCTGTTTTTGGTAATACCTCTCTGCAAGGTCAAAAAATTATTTCTCTAAATGTTGCAGCGTGTATTTAGCGTCAGATACACAATCTACAGCATGACTTGACATAGCATTGAAGGAGTTTTGTTAACACTTTGCGTTCCAGTTGTAACCGTTTGTTTCTTGCTGAGCTGAGTTTCTGAGATCCCCCAAGTCTTAGTTCCTGTATTCTGAAATCCTGATATGCAGAGTTCTACAATTACTGGATCCTGTGTTTGCGGAGTTCTTGTGCACAAAATGTCTGCATTCTCTGAATCCTCTCTCTGCTGGGTTCCTCTTGCACAAAACCTCTGCATTCTCTTAATCCAGTGTCTGCCAAGTTCTTGTGCTCTCAAGCTCTACATTATTTATATCCTGTGTTTGCGTTTGATTCCATGTGTTCATCATCCCATGCATCCTCTGATCTTGTGTTTCTGAGTCCCTGTGTTTGGCATTCCATGCATCCTCTGATCTTGTGTTTCTGAGTCCCTGTGTTCATCATCCCATGCATCCTCTGATCTTGTGTTTCTGAGTCCCTGTGTTTGGCATTCCATGCATCCTCTGATCTTGTGTTTCTGAGTCCCTGTGTTTGGCATTCCATGCATCCTCTGATCTTGTGTTTCTGAGTCCCTGTGTTTGGCATTCCATGCATCTTCTGATCTTGTGTTTCTTAGTCCCTGTGTTTGGCATTCCATGCATCTTCTGATCTTGTTTTTCTGAGTCCCTGTGTTTGGCATTCCATGCATCCTCTGATCTTGTGTTTCTGAGTCCCTGTGTTCGGCATCCCATGCATACTCTGATCTTGTGTTTGCTGAGTTTCTCTGTCTTCTCTCTGCTATGTTTCTGCTCCTATGCTCACATTTCATACCCAGCAAAATGCAGACCATTAGTCCAAGGGTTTAACATGTGGATAAGGGGGGTGAAGCTTGCTAACTGAACAGACAGGATGCCATTTCTTACGGCTCCTTAGCAAAACTTCTGAATCTTGCAAATATCGCACAACCAGAACCCAATCCAGCTTTGAAAGCCATATAACTTGATCCTACAGGGCATACTGTTTCAATAAATGCATTTCTTTCTTGCCGAGAAACAACCACAGAGAAAACGCAAGCCTGGGGCCTACCTCATGCCCAAGCTCCCGTGCCTTGAGGACCTACTGAACACTGACACAGTAGCTCATAGCGAGGCAACCTCCACTCCCTTGTTGCCTACATCACCAGCTTACATGCCAGCCATGGGTCGTTTCTCACAAAAAACACATACAGCGGCTTAAGGTAGAGATATCAGGACCATGCTGTTAAGGCCTGGGCAATCCAAGCCCACTCCTGTGGAGGAACCGCAAGCCACGGACCACAAACTTGGGTCCATTAGTGCATTGTGGATGGGTGACAGTTATTAATATTTGTGGGCATTGCTGCCGTGGAATGCTATCCTGATATACGTACCGTAACAGTAGGTGTGTGCAAATGTTTTGGTAAGCAGCTGTGTAGCTTTCTCTATTTAGCATCCTATTTACCTTACCTCATCACATGGCGGCTGGCACCCAGACACAGGGGTCCGCAGAGCGTCTGGGCCCCCTGGAGTGAAGAGCCCGATTGCAGCTGCGACCCCTACATGTACGCCACTGTACACACACACACACACACATACATACATACAGACAGACACACACATACACAAACACACAGACAGACATCAGAATCAAAAGAAAAAGGGTAGTTGCGCACACAATGGTATATTGTAGATACAATAAATGGTATCTGAAAGGTATAAGCATAAAAGACCATCATAGCGTAATATGAAATTCTATAATGATATAAAAGGAGTTAATATGGAAAACTCACAATTTTTAGAGCCATATCAGTCGGCTCTAAACTTAAGCAGGATGTAGTAATCTCCACTTGGAATGTAATAAGCATGACAGGCGCACAGTCGGATTTGCCGGCATATGCGCTAACCTTACCCCAACCCCCATTAAAACACGGACACAGGTTATACTGTTGGAAATAATTTGTCCACAGCTTTATTAAATTATTAATAAATAATTAAGGAATAACAAATGGGGTCATTGCCAACAAATCTTAATAATGTTAACCTCCCCATATACATAACATACCCCTAGCAATGACCCCACAATAATAACAATAGATAACAATATAAATAACATGTTAACACAGAAACTGGCCGTCCAATTTGACCACATTTCCACCAGGTTAAATTGTAGGGGTGTACCGAGACACCGCTACCCACCATATCCATTGTAGGGGTGTACCAAGACACCGCTACCCACCATATCCATTGTAGGGGTGTACCAAGACACCGCTACCCACCATATCCATTGTAGGGGTGTACCAAGACACCGCTACCCACCAGTTCCAGTGTAGGGTGTACCAAGACACCACCACACCCCCAGGTTCGGAGCCACCGACGGGCTCGAACCTACCAACCACGTGCAACACTGCCCAATCCACACTAAACCTCAGGATGCCCACTTTCTCCTCCATCTACCCTCCGATTTAACCAGGCCATTCCCCGCCGCTGTGAAAAAACGGGAAATCAACTAACCTAACCAAATACAGGGAGGGTGGGAGGGACAACTGACAGGTAAGCTTAGGTTCAGTTAAAATGGCCACTTCATATAATGGCTGGTATAAATACTCCCCTTATGGCTCCACCCTACCCAGCATGCTAGCTGTCACTAAATTCCTGTGGCTGCTATGCCTACCTCCTGGCTCTGTCAAGGCCTATTCCTCTTAGCTGCGCTGATCCATGGGCTACAATACAGGTCCCCCAGAGATAAGATCGTATTCTTCTGGATAAAGTGCAGGAACCAGAGTATAAAATAACAGTTTATTATATATTAAAAAGCAAGCACAACGTGTTTCGACCAATTCCTTTAGGTCTTCCTCAGGTGCATTATTTAATAGAATATAACAAATATATGAATTATAGATAAAAACACACGTTAACAATTTCCCAAACCATTCCCTCCTCTTTGTCTTTCATAAAAATCTGGTTTTCACTGCCACCACTTAAGTGGATGCTCGTCAATGGTTTCCTATGTGGTAATTCATGCATTGACCTTCCCAAAATGGCCGCTCGTTACAGTCAATGACATGGATCCGTTTTACTTCCGGTATTCCTCTGTGATGTAACTTCCGGCTCATGTCATATGTGGAGGATATGAGGTTATTCTTAGCCGTCCCTGTCACTAAAGGGGCGTGCTAGTTTCGAGCTTGCTCAGTCCATGTTTGTAATATTGGCGAGATTAAAATCGCCATTTTGAAAGAGGGAAAAAATTAGGGGCAAAGAGATATCGGCATATTAATAAATAATACATCAATAAATAATTAATAAAATTACAGACAGACATACACACACATCCAGACACACATACAGAGAAACGTTCATACAGACACACACATACATACAAACAAACACACACATAGACAAAATATTTTAGTCACCCTCCTGTTTCCTACCTTTTAGATGCAAAAGAGTTCCCACTCTGACTCCTTCCTCTCTTCCTCCCATGCGGCTCCCTTTGTAAGGAGCTATTAAAGCGCCGCAGCACTGACTTGGATATCCATAGCTATTGGGTGGTCCTAACAGCATGGCCCACCCGATGGGCCCATTAACGCCATAACACATAGCGGCGGGCATCCGGTCGCAGGGGTCCGCAGGGCGGGGCCCCCTGGAGTGACGGGCCCAGTCACAGCTGCGACTCCTTCGACCGCGGTATGTAGGCCACTGCACTGCCCTCTCGGTCAGGGGCCTACATTCCTGATGCATATCCTCCGCACTTTAATTTTTCCACAGGGGCATTCTTTCCCACTACTAAAGCATGTTGCAGGCTAGTCAAGCCCTATACTTGTAATGTGTACACACTATATGCATTTTTCACACGTGTGGTATTATAAGCCAATTTGCTGCAGGGTTTAAAGTGACACGTCACTGTCAAAATAAATACATGAAAATAACTGTTTAATAGATATAGACCCTCCATAAAAACATGCATGCACATGTTTTCTTGTCTGCAGCCTTTACAAGCCCTCCCCTTCTAACCCCGCCCAGACTTTCTGTGACTGTCCAATCACAGACTTCTCAGTGCAGCTCAATGAGAAGTTTTTACAAGGCAGGTGCTCTGAGCAAAAACTTCCTCTTGAGTTTATCTCCATTGAGCTAACCAAATCAGGATGTAACAGAACAGGTAGTCTGACTGACAGCCAGGTGGTGTAGCCAGGTTAATTTACAAAAGTTCAAATTTCTAATGACATCTGTACTTTTTTTTGTAAATAATGAAAAAAAAAATTTAATAAAGGAGTGCCCACTCCACAAATAAAACACTTCAGGAAATCGAACTGCATTAATGGTCTGGAGTGTCCCTTTAAGGATACAGCAAATACCATATAAACAGACTACATCCTTGGATATTACACATTATGTGTGTGCAACTGAATAGCAGGGTATTTAAACAATAAAATGCTTACTAATGCTGAAGTTTCATCAACTCATCTGTGCTTATTTTGGTACCAGATGCCAGCTGCAACTGTAGCTAACATTTGTCCAATAATTTCTTAATTTTTTTAGCTCACGAACAGCCTTGAGCAGTTTAATTAATGATGTAAAATTAAGCTACTTTGCAAGCTAATACATGCTGCAGAGCTTACCAATAGGCTATTTGCTACTACTGAGCTTTATAGGGGATATGTTAAGGGTCAGATTAACATTGGGACTTCAGCTCTTACCAGGGTTTGCTAGGATGCTCCTGGCTAATACGTTTACAGAAAATTTACTAATTTGGAATTAATTTTGGTGGTTTGCAGGCCTGTACTGGGCAATTATCTTGACCAAGAGCAAATGGGGGCTCAAAGGATCCCCCTGACAGGCTCAGGTGTACTGGGAAGGGAAGTATAAAACATATTTTTTTTAAAATAAGTAATATTTTTTTTTAAATCCTTCACACACATACACAGTACAAACTGCCATCCTCCTACACACACACATCACGAACAGCCTCCTACACATACATGCATAAAAACACACACACATACACACACACACACACACACACACACACATCACTAACAGCCTCCTACACACATCACTAACACCCTAATACATACACACATACACATCACTAACAACCTCCTACACACACATTACTAACAGCCTCCTCCACACATACACATACACATCACTAACAGGTTCCTTCACACACACAGACACATCACTAGTTCCACCACACACACAATACTACACACACTCGCAACACCCAGTCCCAGTACTGTCTTGCTTTTGTCCTCTGGGGTCCCACCTATGGGGACACTAGAGATCCCAATACGGTCTTTTATCCTTGTTTGGGAGACAGGTAAGGAGAAAAGACACCATTTATATAAACAAAAACAGACACTTTTAAGATTATTTTAGAACAATTCAATAAACACAAAAAAGATTACAGACCAAAAAAAATAATTTTTCAGAACACTTTGATAAATCTCGCCTACAAAATAGGAACAGGACCTGCTATTGTGATCTGGGGTCAACATTTCTAAGGCTTAATAATTACAGATTAACTACAACTCATTGAACCACAGTGCAATGCATGACTTGTTGAAATACTGGATACTGGATTTATGGGAGGAAGGCTACAAAGACAACATAGATTCACATATATTCCCTAACATTTAGCTATACAGCATATAGGTCCCTAGGGATGGTCAGTTCCTTTTGACCATTTATGCCTCTCTTGGGCTGTCCTCTCCCACACGCATTCAGTCAATCTACGTTTTCTTTTGGCCGCTAGCATGAAGCGTGGTGCAGATATTATGTATCAAATGACAAATACCTTTCAGTATTAAAGGCG